TGGAGGAAAAGGTTTGTTTAGTAGTGCAAAGAAGGTTAGTTAGTTAGTTCATGCCTAACACTATTTTCATCACATAAGATACGTGCCAAATATGGTATAGTGGAATTTTTATACCTAGACGTACCTCCATAAAGTCTTCTGAAAAGACTTCTTGTTTTAGCTGAGGAGGAGACACAAGGTTGGAGGTGCGGGTGCTGCGGTGGTGCTCACGGTCTCACAAAACTACTCTAGCAAATTTGTTGCATGGCATAAAGTGCCTATCAGTGACAGTGTCAACGATATGGCCCGATGGGATAGCTGCCACTCCCCCTACTGACAGTCTTCAAAGTTCTACGAAGTATGACATAGTCTTCTTTGGGCAATCCAGGAAAGAATCAACAAGGGTGAACAGTAAACAAGAATAGGTAAGATGCACAAGTTGAAAAACTGTAAGAGGAGGAGGGATTGAGTTGTGTCTGATTGCCTTAACCACTTCTTAATGTAAAAAGTCAGACGAAATATTCTTTTAGAAATCGCTGAGACATGGGGAGACCAGGATAGACCAGAATAAAGAATAAGTTCAAGATACTTCACTTTAGTATCATCAATCTCGCAAGGGTCATAGGAACCAGCGGCTTCATTTAACTTTCATTTACATCGGAAACTGAAATTGACAGTCTGACATTCTATTACGACTTTACGTTTTTAGTTGTCAGTTGGGTATCATCATCATCACCTATGTCTATATCTTGTCACCTAGTTTACCTTTTTTTCTTTCTTGTTCCCAGTGGAACAAAGGGGGCTCCAAGCTAGAGGCTTGAAGTTTCTGTAGCAGTGTTAATTTTTACAGGATGGGGTTGCTGGCCTCGTGTCCACCCCTTCCGCTTCACCAGTCTCACTACTGGCTTAGCGAGGTCTGTCTCTGTCTGGATTCAACATAGAACTTGCCACCGAAGTGCAGCAGTTCGAGTTGCCACCTTCCAAATAGCACACAGAGGTAGACAAGAAGATGAGTGGAGAGAATTAATAGAGTTTGACAAATATAGGAGTGAAACAGAATGGGTAATGGTAGAAAGGAATATGAAAGATTACAGAGATTGAATGCATCTGCGCCATTGACAACGATTTTGAGCCATGTCACCTATTGTCTCCAGCCATTGATTCCTAGAGTCCCGAGGGCCCCAACCCGGGAGTCTGCATCTCCCTACCTGACTCAGTTTAACTGTCAAGGATTTCATGGATTGATGCCATGTTTTTGTTTGGCCACCACTGGCTCTTTTCCAACCTGAACCTATATCAGCTAACAATGCCCGTCGGGGGAGGCGATGGTTAGGCATGCGCAGCACGTGACCTAGCCATCTTAGTCTATGTAACTTTATAACCTCGTCGATTGATTTTCCCTCTTTGCCCAACACTCTACGCCTAACGTCAACATTACTTATCTTGTGAAACCACCTAACGTGAGACAGAGATCGCAGACATCTATGATCGAAAGCAGTCAACCTTTTCATGTCTTCAACGCGTATTGGCCATGTTTCAGAGCCATAGAGAAGGACGGAGCGAACTGATGAGCAGTACACACGTCCCTTGGTTGATAACCGGATGTCACGCCTACGCCAGAGATGGTGTAAGTCAGCGAAAGCAGCTCGAGCTTTTCGGATCCGTGCTGAGATTTCATCGCCAATCAGTCCGTTGGTGCTAATACAACTTCCCAAGTAGGTGAAGTGGTCAACATGTTCTATCACTTCACTCCCTATCACTAAGTTAGGGGTTGACGTCGTCCAGTCCTGTAGCAGCATCTTACATTTTGCAGGGGCGAATCGCATGCCAAACATACGAAGATTGCTGCTCAAGGTGTTCAGAAGACTCTGCATTTTGTCAGCATCCTCCCCTAACAGGACTATGTCATCTGCATATTCTAAGTCCATTAGATTATTCCCTGGTAACAAGTCGATTCCTAAGTCACTACGTTCAGTTAAGGATACTTCCATTAGCATATCTATGATGAAGTTAAACAGAAATGGGGAAAGTGGACATCCCTGTCGGACACCACTGGTTGTTACTAATTCAGATGACAATTCCCCATAAGCCCTTACACGACTACGTGAGTTTGAATAGAGTGCCTTGATTAGTGCGATGTACTTTCTTGGCACTCCCTTCACAGTCAGACATTGCCATAGTACCTTTAGATCCACGGAGTCGAAGGCCGCCTTCAAGTCAAGAAATATGACAATTGTTGGACGCCGAAAGGTGTGTCTATGTTCTAGAATCTGTCGAAGAGTGAAGATATGATCTATGCACCCTCTACCTGGTCTAAAGCCTGCTTGATTTTCCCTTGTCTGTTCCTCCCGAGTTCTGCTTAGTCTATGCATGATTACTGAGCCTAGGATTTTAGAGACTATGTTCGTTAGGCTGATCCCCCTATGATTATCACACGAGGACTTGTTTCCCTTCTTGAATATCGGTATAATGAGTGACTTACCCCAGTCTGATGGTACTGTCTCTGATTCCCAGACTTTGCCTAGTACCTCAGTTAATCTACAAACTAGTATGTCACCCCCATATTTAAACACCTCCGGAATAATTCCGTCGGGTCCTGCCGCTTTGCCTCGTTTCAAATTACTGATAGCTTTTGTAACCTCACCTACAGACGGCGGACCAGTGTCTATATCCCATTCGGGTACGTGGTGGGTGGCGGGGAGGTTCAGTGTGGCTAGCGAGGTAAAGGAGTGCGTGTGTAGCCGGGGATTGAACCCCGGACCATGTGCATGGTCGGCGAGCATCCTAACCGCTGTGCCACCGACGCACACCTAGTTTACTGGTCGGTTCTGATCTCGAAAAAAACACAGGTTGGCTGAGTGGAACAGGCATCCCCAGTGGTACTAGTCTAACGACAGAAGACAAGAGCCAACCAACAGATCGTGTATGTACATTATTATTAGCCTTATTGTTAGCAGAGAACCAACGTCTTCTGATTGGTTGTTTTCTTGCTGTGAAGGTTATTCTGTCATCTCTTTGTGGCCGTTTCTTAGAAAGTCAAGCCATACATCTGCGAATCATATTTGCACACGTTAAGTTTGCTATGATTGGTTGTTGAGTCCGTCAAGGTTAAGCTTGGTTCTTGTTTTTTTTTGTCATGACCCCGATCCGGTATGTAAACATTGACGTAAATTGTTGTTAATAACTGTACAACACTGTGTGATTTATCAAAATAAAATCTTATCCATAATGGAGTAAATTGTTGTCTACAAATTTTGGTTGGCAGAGACACCTCTCACCACACTAGAGCTTCAGTTTGACGTAGTACTTCTCTTGGTTCTAATATAAAAGAGATTAGTCTTATCAAGAGGCTCTTTTTTCAAAGAAATTTTGTTAGTCTTTTGATTAATAACACAATATTCAGCGAAGAGACTCTTTCCAACAACGAATTTATTATCACGCTGTACAATCGTATATATATGACAGAAGCAAGTGCAGACGTGCAGTTGAAGCCCTATGTCCCACTGGAACCCAAGGGAACAATAATAATAATGTACAATCCTATATATATAGTTTTTTAAGAAATTATATCCGGTGAGGGAATTAGATCAAAGGTGTGAATACATGAAATAATAATAGTAGTAGTGTGGTGGAGGAGGCTGTTTGCCAATTGGTAGACATCAATTTACGTCAATGTTTATGTCCCCAATATTGGTCGTGGGAAAATATAAACAAGACTGATTCAACAACCAACCACAACAGACTTTGCGTAGGCAGATACAGTTAACGTATAGGTGACCTGACATTCTAGAAACAGTCACAGAGAAATGCAAGGTTAACTTTCTGTGAGAAACAACCAATCAGAAGAGTGTGTTTGTTTGATTGAGAAAGCTATTAGAATGTACATGAAAACCTATAAATACGTGTTGATTTCCTCAATAAACTATCTGTTGCGTTACTCTTGTCTTCTGTTGTTACAGTAGTATGAAATGCAATTAAAATATTTGTGATTATAATCATGGTTTAATGTCAAGTGGCAAAATAATTAATGTCATATATAGAATAGTAATAATTCATAAGGTGTATAGATTTTGGAAAGGGGTACATAATTATAGGATTAGTAGGCGAATATAAAATCTTACATAACACGCTGTGAAATTTGATAAGATAGAATTCAATATTGTAAAAATGAAAATTAATAATTTTGGATTTAGAATGACAACTGGGACAAGCGGAAACAATTCCGAGTGAGAATAGTAATAATAATAATAATAATAATCGTAGTTATGTGGGAAAGGTACTTAGAATAACTGAATAAACAAAATAAATAAATAAATGTCTATCGCTCTACGGCCAAGGCAGAAGTAGGGATTGTACATACTTCTTTTGTACACTAAGGGCTGGCTTAAAGTCATGAATGAATAGCCAAGGCCTCAACTGTCTTTAGAAGTCTGTAACGAAGAAAACGCGTGACGTTAGCATGAATTCTATATATGATCTTAAAATCATGGTTAGGGTTGACCGAGTGATAGAAGTCGATCAGGTGTTCTTGAATGGAGCTTCGCACACACTTCCTTTTTCCCTTGTAAAGCCATGCTGGAATATGTTCTCGTATACGTGTGGAGAGCGTTCTCTGACTACGGCCAATGTACCTTGTTCCACAAGAGCAGGTGAACTGGTAGATGCACATGGAGGCGGTCAGACGGGGGAGCTTATCTTTTACAGAGGTAGAGAACAATTTGCAGCTCGTGAACGTCATATGTAATTTAGCTGCAGGGAACGTCTTACTGACTGATTTAGAGAGACGATTTTTGAGCATATCATGAATTTCCAAGGCCTCAGCTGTCTTTAGAAGTCTGTAACGAAGAAAACACGGAAAGTTAGCTTGGATTCTATATATTATCTTAAAATCATGGTCAGGGTTTACAGAGTAACAGAAGTCGATCAAGTACTCCAGAATAGATTAATAAACTATCATTATCATCGCCAACTTTTCATTTGAAACTTTCTTCTTTTTATCTCGTGTTTTTACTTTTTTTTAGCCAGATAAATGGGGTGGTGGTATTGAAGTGTCTATTTTATCACAATTATATGAAGTTGAAATATGCATTGTTGACATTGAATCCTGTCGAATTGATCGTTTCGGTGAAGATCATAATTATCCTAAGCGGATATTATTAATCTATGATGGGATACATTATGATCCACTAGCGCAAGAATATCCTAAACGTGATTGTCTGGTCACAGTGTTCCCTACAAGTGATGATTCAGTAAGTTACTTTATCTTTATTCTGTTAACCCCCCTTCCTATCCACGCCGGTGGAGCCCCATTTGTCAGCTGCATATTAAGTAATGAGTGGTACGGAGTTCGAGTTGATATCTCTGATTACCACAATGTGTTATAGAGCTGTAAGCCGTTGATCTAGGCGCCTGACTCCAAACTAGTGGGTTAAAGGTTTTAATCACGCTTCACCTACTTTGATTGGACACTAGTAACTGGTGTGATGTGTGTGGTCCATTCTTTGGTGCAGACTAAATTCTATCAGTCCAAGGTCCAAGGCTTGGACCGGTCGATTACCTCCAACCATCTAATATTATCCAATCAACGTGCACTATGATGCCGAACTACCTAGAATGGTGGCCACATTGCAAACCTGACTGATAGAATTCAGTCTTAGATATGATAGAGAAGATTTGTAGCTCAGGTGGATGATTTTGATGTGGTTTTGTTCTCTGAGCTGGATGGTTGATTTGCGAAGCTTTCATCACCCTACTGGGTGACATCTTCAGCGCATACTTCAATTTGAAGTGAGCTTTTAGATTTCTCCACGAGTTTATTAATCATCTCTCCTGGTGACCTTGGACGTGATTGGTTGTTTATGTGTGTTTTCACATCTTCTAGGTTACTTGTATTGGAGCTGACTGTTTCTTTGATTTGAACTTTGACCCTTTGTGTGTGAAGTTTCTTTCTTATTGGTTGATAAAATTCAGTCTGCACCAATGAGAGGACTAGACACCTCATACTAGTTACTAGTGTCCTATCAAAGTATCCACTACAGTCCTACAGGGGGTCAGTCGCGAGCCTGAATAGCGCAGTGGTAACGTCTCTGACTGCAGCACTCATTGGGTGACTCGGGTTCGAATCTCAGAAGGGACATGAGTTCCTTCAAGGTTGCCTTGCTGAAGAACGCTAACCAGCAGGAAATCTAGGTAAAAGGGTTCCTGTGGCCGATTGCCTCCAACCATCTAATTCGCCTCACCTACCGAAGTTAAGGTAGCCAGCTGGTGTGTCACCAGTTCTCAAGCAATAGGCTCGGTTTATTTCAAGTGGTTTGTTGGGTAACATTTCACTTCTCTGATTGATTATATAAAAGTTGGCTGCTTAGTTTTACGAACCATTCCCCCCCTCACTGTATTTAGCATAGATTTATCTGCGAAAGTCTATCGATGAGGTTGTGAGGCTGCGTCGATTGATACAACTAAGACTATGTTATATTATGGGTGCTGAAGTTTATCTCTCTCCCCAACGAAACACCACAAACACATACTACACTCCAATAACTGGTTTCCATTACAACAATGAGTGCTATCCAGGTGGAGAATTTCACTGCTTTCAAAATACTCAAAATACTTTTAATCGATTGAACCCTTGATGATCAATCGTCTGACTCAAGGGCCGCATTAGTTATTATTGTTCCCTTGGGTTCCTAGTGGGACATAGGGCTCCACTTGCCACTTCTGTCTTCTTTCTGCTGTACTTTTCACCTGCATCCATGTTAGTCCATACTGTTTCAACTCTTCACACGATCTACTCCATGTCACCCTTGCACCGACGACCCACTCACCTCTTCCCTTATGGCCTGGTTCCATTCGAGCAATGGTCTGACTCGCGCAATATCACCCAGCGGCGTCTTCAGCCACGAGTGTCAAATCCATCTCAATCCACTTTCTCCTGCATATTTGTTGGTTGGTGATTGCTTCTTGCATGTTGGTTTGTTCCCATAGTTTCCCATAGTTGGTGATTCTTTCCGGCCCGGCCATATGATCTTCAGTATAGATCCAGAGAAGACCTCCCCCTTCTCATGACCTCCTCCATATCACCCCACCCTCACATTAACGACCAACTCGCCACTTCCCATTCGGCTACCCCTCGAGAGTCTTGACATTGATGTGTTTAATTTACTACTGAAAAAGATCCCGCCTGTTCTGAAAATGTGGCTTACTAACCTTGACGCGCAGCATTCAATCATTCGGTCCCGGGTTCGAATCTTGTTTGAATTACTTTGTAACCTGACCAACTGATTCGTATCAGCATTGTGCCTCAAACAATAAGTGTGGCCCACTAACATAACCTCCTTCCTGGTAGATGTGAAATCTGTTTTAACACAATTTATGGGGTTTTCTAGGTGAATTTTGTATTCTGCCTTTAATTGATTATCCTGAATCAAAATGTTCAGCCTCTGGTGATGACATGTTGGCTCTCCTAGTACGTGGGGGGATTCAACCAATTTCTGTAGATTAACACTAATGTTATTTCTGGTGGATGCTGACTATTAGTGGTGGAATCCCAGATGTGTGTGGTATCTCGTCGTCCTATTTGGGAGTCATCATCTGGACATATCTGCACCCACCCCCGCTCAATGAGTGTGATAAGTGGTGTTTCCCGCGGGACTCGAACCGTGTTCCCATCGTTTTAAATGCTGCAGTGTTATCGACTAGGCAACAGGTACGAGTTATTATTTATTGGAGTTAGTTTTGTATTTCCCCTTTCGATTGATTGTCATATTGGACCAGAATGTTCAATCCCTGTTGACATGTTGGCTCCATGATAGGAGCCAAGTAGTTAACGCTTTGATGTTTGAATCGTGATGGAATCGCAATGGATTCTGCATACGGATCTCAGTGGCAGGGGGCAGTCATTGTGAATTGCGAATTTCCAGCGGTTGATGAATCCCAAATTTAGGCCGAAATGCGGCCTCATCTCCGATTTCCACATTGCTAGTCACCACTGTTCACTACACACACACACACAATACTCTTCTTTTATTTCCGCCTAAATTAATCTTGTTTTTTTACCCTGTTTAAGATTCTTTTAGAAGCTCAACAGCTGGCATCTAAAGCACGTGCTGAATGGGCATTCACAGATTTGGCTTCTTTCACCCTCTTATGTCGTCAATGTGATGCACCATTGGTTGGACAAGCTGCTGCACAAAAACACGCCCAATTAACTGGTCATACACAATTCAGAGAAATTGCTCATTAATGCACAAGACATACAGACACTCGTCATAATAACATATCTATCTACCGATCCATCTATCTATCTTTCTATCTGTTTATCTCTGAGACAATCGTTATTAAAAAATGATTCAGGCCAGTTTATTGCCGTCCTTTATGACACACATATAATACAATAAATATGGTGTGAGTGTGTGTGTGTGTACACATGGGCACCAATATTGTAGTTCTTTTATTTTCTACTCTTCTCCGCGCTAATAGTTTGCTCAAATTTTTCTTCCATGTTTCTATGTTGTCTTGACCCCCACCCTCCCGCCAATCCCAAGTGCACGCATGCACTTATGTCCGTTCCTAAGCGTGTGTGTGTGTGCGTACGCGTGCCTATGCGCATGTAGATTGATAGCTGTTCAATCGGTGTTGTTGTCATACAGGCGAAATTGTACAAAAAATGGAATTTATGATTTTTGATTGAATTGAATATTAGCTGTGATTATTTCCCTTTCTCTTTCTTTGTATCTCTCCTTCCCATCTAATGTTACGTAATTTATTCCCCTCCTGTGTCTCTCTCCCTCTGTCTGCCTTCACCTATTGCTGTTCTTCAATGTATCTATCTGTCTGTCTGCCAATCTGCCTTTCTAGTACATCAGCGATTGTTATACCAACTCCATTGGCTTAATTGCTTACTTTTCAGCCAAATGCTTCCCACCCCACTCCCCGTTGCGTTGGGGTGGGGGTTGCGGGGGATTCGAATCCAATTCCAACCTATTTCAGTCTGGGTGTGTGTGTGTGTGTGTAGAAAGTCGTATCTCTGGAACTTGGAGATTTATGTTCTACATAGCGGTAGTAGAGTAGCACCGGCAGCTAGAATTCCACCAATCTGTCTGCTGTCTACACTGCACTCTTTCACTGGATTGGATATGATGTTCAAAAGATGGTGGGTGGACGTCATCCAGCCTTTCTTTTTGTTCATCAGTGAAACCTGTTTCGTTCTCTCTCTCTCTTGTTTTTTTCTCTTCTTTTCTTTTCTTATTTGTCTTATTTTGTGTGACTGGACTCATTATGACTTTGTGTGTTTTCCAGTGTATGTAATTATGTGTGTGTATGTCTCTTTCTTTTGTTTCCTTAATATGTCCGCTTTATTTTGACTTTTTGTTTTGATTTTTGGCAAAAAACGGAAACGTTTCTTTATTGTCATTATTACTATTATGACTATTATTATTATTATTATTGTTATAAGTAGTATTATTTTAATGTCAATTTATGAGATGAAGCCTTTCAATAAAGTCTTTTTTTGTGTTATTATTGCTAATACTATTATTATTATTATTATTGTTCCCTTGGGTTTCGAAGTGGAGCATAGAACATCTAACAGCACGTCTTCATTTTGTCCTATTATTTCTGCCGTCCTCCTCCTCCTCCTCCTCCTCATCATCATCATCAGTTAGCCCATGATTGTCTCATGGTCTCTGAATGCAGTACTCACTGAGTGACGCGGGTTCGAATCTCTCAGAAGGAGGGATATGAGTTCCTTCAGGGTTGCAGATACACTTTGCTGATGAGTGCCAACTAACACGAAACTTAGGTCAAGGAGGGTTTCTTGTGGCCGATTGCCTCCAACCATCTAATATCAACAACTCACAGTGCACCGTGATGGTGAGCCACCTAATGGTATGGTGGCCACATTGCAAGCTTGACTGATAGAATTCAGTCTGCAGACAACATAGGACTAGACACATTACAACACTAATTCCTGACTAATGTGCAATCAAAAAAAAATATCCAATACAGTCCTACAGGAGGTCAATCACAGTGGTAACGTCTCTGACTGCAGTCTCTGTCTGTCTGTTTTCGACATAGAACTTTCCACCGATGTGCACCAGTTCAAGTCGCCACACTCCCCACATATAGCACACAAAGCAAGAGAAGAAAGTAAAAAGAAATGCATAATAGAGACAGTAAACAGAGGTGTGAGACAAAGGAATAGTAATATCGAAGAAGAACAATATAGTTTCATTGGAAATTATAAGTCACAGAGAGTGGATGCATCTGCGCTAGCCATTGTGAACGATCACTTAGAGCCATATCACCGATTGTCTCCAACCTCCATTGGTTTTTACCGTCCCGAGGACCCCAGCCAGTCAGGAAGTCTACATCTTCCTACATGGCTGGCTGGTTCAAACTAACTGTTGTGGATTTCATTGACTGGTGCCATGTTTTAGTTTGATCAACAGTGGATCTTTTCCAGCCAGACCCTATGTCAGCTAACATTACCTGTCGGTCGAGGTAGGCGATGACTAGGCCAGCATGGGTAACACATGTCCTAATCATCTCAGTCTATGTAACTTCACAACATCGTCGATTGATTTCCCCTGTTTACCTAGAACTCTACGCCTAACCTCCATGTTGCTCACCTTATTATACCACTTCACACGGGAGATAGAACGCAGGTACCTATGATCAAAGACAGTTAATCTTTTCATGTCTTCCACTCTCAATGTCCAGGTTTCACAGCCACAAAGGAGGACAGAGAGGACTGCAGTACTCACTGGGTAATGCGAATTCGAGTCTCAGAAGGGACATGTGTTCCTTCAAGGTTTCAGATGCGCCTTGATGATGAGTGCCAACTAACACGAAACCTAGGTCAAGTAGGGCTTCTTGTGGCCTATCGCCTCCGATCATCTAGTACCAACAATCTCTGTTTACCCCTACTCACACATTCTCTCTCTTACATGTCATCCTCGTAATTACGCACAACTCTTCTTTTCCCATTTGGGTCACATTTGAGCTTTGGCCTACAGTGAGCACGATAACATTTGACGGTCTTTTCAGTAGTTTGTATCCGATTTATCCATCTGCATTTCCTTCCTTATAGATATTTGTTTAGCAATCGATTCTTGGTCGGTTTGTCCACATCTGTCTGGATTCAACATAGAACTTGGCACCGAAGTGCACCAGTTCGAGTTGCCACGTTCCAAATAGCACACAGAGGTAGACAAGAAGATGAGTGAAGAGAATCAATAGAGTTTGACAAGTATAAGAGTGAAACAGAATGGGTAATGGTAGAAAGGAGTTTGTCCACATAAGTTCTTGTTAGTAATTCTTTCTGACTGACCGACCGACCGACCAATGGACTGGCTGGCTTGCCATCTAATCTTCAGTATGAAGATAGCCAGTGAAGGTGGCAGCTGTTGATAGAAGTCTATGGCAGCCTGTTTGTGAAGTGCTTTTTTGTAATAATATGAATAGTTTGATGAGTGTGTTTTACTCAGGATACACATAGGCACTTACTTACTCATTTGAACATGCACGCACATAAAATTCTGGATCACATGACTTTAAAGAAAATGTGCTAATCAATATTCTTTGCATATCTTATTATTTAGATAAATTTAGGGTTTGTTGTATGTATATATAAGTAGATTTGTCAATATCTAGTTTATAGCTGAAGGTCATATAAACTAAAAAACTAGATAAAATTAGTTGTGAGAGATAGAGAGGTAGAGAGAAATAGAGAAAAGTGTAACTGATTGCATAATTACAAGAAAAAAAGTAATACATCATTATTCACCAATACATCTCAGTTGTACTGTGTTCTCAACGCTTCCTTGTAAAACCATGCTGTTGGAATCTGTTTTCGAATCCGTGTGAAAGCCTTCTGTGGCTACGACCAATGTAGGTTGCTCGACAAATAAGCAGGCGAACTGATAGATGTACATGAAGGCGATCAGATGGGAGACCTTGTTGCTGGTGAACCTTATGTAGCAGGATAGATATCTAGCTCCACATAAGCAGGTGACTTGGTAGACTCACTAGAACCGCCCATACTCTCTCTTTGCTCCCAAAAGAGAACTCATCTACTTGAATCTAAAATTCGATGGAGATTCATCAGTGTGTTCCAGTTACTAAAGAAAACCTTCTCCGCTACCAAAATTCGACTGACACTCTCTCTGTCTTTGAAACCAATGATTCTCATGAACGTGAAGGATAAGCTACCAATGCTCACTACTGGCCTCATCATCAATGTACATTCATCAATTCACCTGCTCGTTTGTTTGGCTCTATGTATGTCAGCTGTACCCAGGGTTTGCTGTCCGAATGTATCAAAAAACAAGTATCCTCACAGTTTTACAAAGGAGAAAAGAGATCTCCCAACCCACCACAGTTATATCCTGAAACACCTGATGGAATTTCAATACCAAGCTAACCCAGAAACCAACTTCAGGGTCGCCAACAGAATATGTGGGAATCTTATCGGAAGAGTACGAGTCAAACTTCTTCAAACCTCAGCAGCAATGGCTACTCACGTGTGAAATCATGTACTTCCAGTTCAACGGCCAATTATATGAACAAGTCAAAGGAATCTAAATCCACCAAACCGGCCAACGAGAAAAACATGACGGAGCAGATTGAACAAAAACTAACAGACATCCTCCGTAAACTAAAGAACGAATCATTCATTACCAACGAAACGTTTGAATCCCTGAGACCATCTGGTTCAAATATACCAAGACTCTACGGACTTCCTAAAGTACACAAGATGGGCACTCCACTTCGACCGATCCTCGACATGACTAATTCACCTTACCACCGCACTGCCCAATGGCTAGCAGACTTACTTGAACCAATCAGAAAACAAGTCTCCCGTCACTCAGTGCGAGATTCATTTGAATTCGTCAACTGCGTCGAAAACGTCAATGTTTCTAATCAAACGATGATCTCACTAGATGCTGTCTCATTGTTTACAAATGTTCCACTAACTGAAACAATTTGTCACATATGCGAGCTCATCCACTCAGAAGGAGTAAACATCGGCATACCCACCGACTACCTAAAAGAACTTCTGCTGAGATGCACCCTAAACGTCCAGTTCTCCTTTAACAATGAAATATATCGTCAAAAGGATGGTATAGCTATGGGCTCACCACTAGGCCCTCTGCTTGCGGATTTCTTCATGTCGAAACTCGAAAACACTTGCCTAAAGAATATGATTGACAACTTTGAACTCTACAAGAGATACGTCGACGA